ATGATGACAATAGAAGCCGAATTCTATTAACCACTCGGCTTAAGTATGTTGCTGATTATGTCAACTGCCCTGATTTTCCGCCTCATAATAAGTCTTTTCTAAGTCAAAATGATAGTTGGAATCTATTCACCGAAAAATTATTCAAAAAAGATTCGTGTCCTCCTTTACTTGTAAAAATAGGGAAGCATATTGTACAACAATGTCAAGGATTACCTCTCTCGGTGGTTGTCGTTGCTGGACTTCTTGGAAAAATGGACCCTACACATGATAATTGGAAGAAGGTTGAGGAAAATCTGAACTCATTCTTTGGTACGGTGTCCGAACGGTGCCAATCAATTCTGTCTCTGAGCTACAATTATTTGCCCCAGTATTTGAGGGCTTGTTTTCTCTATGTTGGAGGTTTTCCTGAAGATATGGAGATTGATGTTTCCAAGTTGATTAGGTTATGGATTTCAGAGCAATTCGTAAAGGCAAGAAGCAATAAAAGATTAGAAGTGGTGGCAGAGGAGTATCTACAAGAGTTAATTGATAGAAGTCTAATTTTGGCTGATAAACAATGGGTTCATGGAATGATGAGAAGTTGCAAAATTCATGATCTTCTTCGCCAACTATGCCTAAGTGAAACTCATACTGAAAATGTTGTGCATGTCATGAATGGGAAAGTTCTCAAAGCCATAGATGGTCAATGTCGAGTTATCCTTCTGTCAAATTATGAAGAGAAGTATGATTATTTTCCGCGACATAGCAGTGGTATTGTCCGTACCTTTATTTCAATGGGTGTAGCTTTTCCAAAAGAGATGTGTTCCATTATTTCAGAGTTCAAGTTGATTAAGGTGTTGGACGTGTTACCAGTCCTGTACGATTTCTCTAGTGTAATACCTGAGCTTGTACATTTGAGATATGTTGCTGCAAGAATTGAGGAAGGTCTTTCACTAGCCAAATTGAGAAATCTACAGACCATAATTCTTCAAAGATATTTCTCCAGACCAACAACGTTGAAGCAGCCAGTAGATATCTGGAGTATGTCAGAGATAAGACATGTGGATATTCAATTTCCACTATATATATCAAATCCTGTTGAAGCAGAACAACCTTTGTGCCTTCTGAATAACTTGCAAACACTTTATCCCTATAACTCTCCTTTTGTTGAGGAAATCATAAGAAGAACTCCCAATCTAAAAAAGCTAAAGATTTTAGATATATCTGAGCATTCTGATTGGGCTGTTATTCTTGATTCTCTCAGTATTTTACAGGATCTGGAGACACTACACATACAAAACATTGATCCGATGATTATCTCTGAAGACATTTCTCTTCCTAATCTTAAGGAGTTGAATTTATCAAATACTTGTATTCCATGGGAAGTTGTGAATTTGCTGGCTAATTTACCCAATCTTGAGAAGCTCTATGGGCATGCTGCATTCGATGGAACAGATTGGAAAGTAGATGAAGATGTTGTATTTCACAAATTAAAATATCTACGTCTATATACGTGCAGAGATCTGGAAAGGTGGGAATTAGCAGCTGGTAGTGATAATTTTCCGATGCTTGAGAATTTAATACTGTTTGAATTGCCTAAACTAGAGGAGATTCCGGAGAGTATTGGAGAAGTAATGACACTAAAATTCATCCGAATAGTTAATTGCGGCTCTGGTGTAAAGACAAGTGCAAAGAAAATTCAGGAAGAGCAAGAAAGCTTGGGAAATTATGAGCTTGATGTTCAAATCTACCCCTAAGGTATATTTCCTATAAAAGGTAATAATATCGAGATATGCTATGAAAAATATAGCAATATCCTAAGATTCCTTGACATCATAATCTTTCATCACCCATAACTTAGAAGTGTTTTTCCCGTGATGATACACATTAGAATAAGAACAAAGCATTCCTTCCAATTTTGAAATGCCAATATCAATGTTGCTCAAGCAAATATATTTGATCCGACTCCATACATTTTTTTAGGCTTACCCTACCTTGTATATAATTGTATATAATTCAGAATTTCCCTAATTGTATAAATTTAAAATTTGTATATGCTTACCCTAGTTTGTATATAATTATCATGTTGATATATTTGATTTGTATAAGTTCTGAAATTTTTTTAAATGTATAAATACAGGATATTGTATATACTTACTATTGCTATGTTTCTTTTCTCTGGTTTGAATTCTCCTCATCACTTATCATACAGTACACCTTGAAGTTTAGTTCAAATTTTATTCTTTATTTCTGTTAATAATAACAATTTGTCTGATGTCTTTGTTTTCTACTTTTCTTGACTCTTTTGGTGTTGGACAAAAAAATTTAGGAGAAGAATAATTGGAGCTCGCCAATAATTGTTGAATTTTTGCTAGGTACACTATAACAAAAACAATTTTTAGCGGCAATAAATAGACACATTAATAAAGAGTGCTAAAGTCTTTACCGGCATTAGTTAAGTGTCATTAGATCCAATGTCGCTAAAGCCTTTAGGAACACATACAAAGAATGCTAACTGCTGCTAAAAATACATATTTAGCGGCAATTGCTAATTAATGGCGGCTAAAGCACATGTTTGATGTAGACATGTAGTGGTAATTGCTACTCTTTAAAGGCTGTTTTTTTTACATTTGTTTTTCATTTTTATATTACCTGCCTCTTGATTGTTATTGTCAAATGCTTTATGGAATATGTATGCTGTTGTTTTTTGCTCACTGATACTTCACTCAGTTTTGGGTTAAAATTATCCAGGTTGATTTGTATATGTATGCTGTTGTTTTGCTCACTGATTATTCTATACTTACCCAGGTTGATTTGATATATATGTCCTTTAACTTGGCTTCATATTACATATATGTCCTCCAATTTTAGATCTGCACAAGTAAACACTTAAACTTGTATAAAGTTGAACATATAAACACACATGCCCTACATGACAATTTGTGTCCTATGTTGTTATGAGGCCAATAGGGTTTGAACACACAACCTTAAGAAACTTTCGCAACCCCTTAATCACTAGTCTAAACCTTCAACTACGTGACACCCCTCGGCCAAGAGTGGGTCCGCCCTTGTATGTGGTATCCTACATGTATTATGCCACGTAGGACTCATGTGTCTACTTGTTAAATTTTATACAAGTTAAAGTGTCAACTTGTGCACACCCAAAATTTGAGAGTGTATATGTAAAACGAAGTCATATTAAAGGGCACATTTATGTATTATGTCTGGTTAATTTCATACGTTGAAGTGGAATATCAAATATTAATTATTACCAATCTCATGGATTCTATTTTTCTAAGATTCAAAATCGGGGAGCTTACGTTAGAACATAAATATTTATTCTACTATATTAGAAGTATGGGTAGGAAGTGTGGTATCAACATGTCAGTTTTTTGTCTTAGGAATTGTATTTGAGGGTATTTTAGTCACTTCACTATTGAATGCAACGTGGCTTCACCCTAAAATTGAATAGACACGTATTTATCATTTAGGGTGTGTTTGGAATGGAGGAAAACAGAAAATGTTTTTCAATTTTCTCATGTTTGGTTAGGTAAAATGTTTTTCAAATCAACTCATTTTTTTCAAATTTAAGGAAAATAACTTTCCTTCAAAACTTAAGGAAAACATTTTTCAAAACTCACTTCCAAGTTCAAATTACAATTTTTTTTTTGTTTAAAAAATCAATTTATTTTGTCTCTACCCTCAAACCAGCCCCCAACCACCC